GTTATCTCCTGTACAGTCCGGGAGTTCTGGGGAGCTGTCATTCGGTTTTTAGTCATTGAAGTTTTAAAAATCTCCTATTAGAGGAGGACCACGGGAGAAAAGGCAAGAGAGACAGAAAGAGCCTGTTTTACCAATGCCATTTTAGTTCTTGTTAGCTCATGATTTGCTTACTGGGATTCCTTTTCAGCTGCTTGCCCAGAACAGCTGCAAGAAAGACACAAAACAGAACAAAAAAAAGTAGGCAAGCCAAACCTTCCTGAAGCCATGAAGCTTCAGCTGGAAACATCCTCTTACCAGGGTTTCTCCTTCCTAATACCAGCTCACCACAAGCTCTGGCCTGCTCTCATGGCTATTCCATGGTTAGGTGCATGTCAACAGCCACAGTATTAAACCTTATTCAGTCTTTCCACCCACTAGTTGGGGACCATAGCTCATGCCACATACTCTACAGGGACTATGTAGTTCACGTAGTTTAACTAGAACCATCAAGTTGAGCATCCCATTTAAATATATATAAATCTAAGCAGAGCAGCTTATTAATGCATAAACTAATCTCATTCACCACTGAAGCAATGACAAACAGAAGCATAAAGATTCATTTAACCTAAGTGGAAAGCTCCAGCAACTTGGTGTTATTAACTCAAAGAACAATTTCACTGATGAAATACTTACCCAAGGCAGTTTAACTAATTTATGCCTTTGTCTAGACTTTTCTTCCCTTCAAAATGACCTGCCTTAAAACAAAACTATTAATTTATTTGTGCCAATTTGTGTCTTTTGCACTTACATTGAAAAATACTCTCGAGAAACATCTAGGCTAGATGTCCTATATGACAAGCATGCCCTGCCTCAAAAAAACAAGTCACTAAAGACTCTGCTGTGAAAACCACTTTGAAACAGAGAGAACTGGTAAAAGACAAAGAACACCAAATTTCTGGAGGTATGTAAGTACTGAGGGTCTTTCCAACTCAGCACTACACTATCTCACTTCCAGCAATTAACACTCCCCAAAAAGAGTCCACAGCCCTGAACTGTGTAACTACGCTCCCTCTGAAGCACACACAGAAGGTAAGTATCTCTGAATCAGGTTCACAGTTGTCAGTGTACTGAGCTGGATTTTTTCATGGCAGAACCTACAGTGCAACAGGAGACTTCTACATCTTACTTGAAGTAAAACATGCAACACACCAAATAGTACTAACTCAAGTCTCAGCAGTAAGACATGACAGCAAAAGGAAAAGCTGGTGAAAGGAATGTGTTACACCAGACCTTCTTTCAGACTTGAGTGCCTCCCTGAATGTCAAAAATAGATGCCTGTGTCAGATCAGGTTCACTGTTTCAATCCTCCCCTGGCAATAGGTGCTTACGTTATCTACTTTCAAAGCAGGACCAGTCCCCTTTTGAAAGGGAGCTGAAGGAAATGAAAATACATGTCCATTCTTCTGATACAGCAGCCTAACAAAGCATTTGCACACAGCTTGAGAAATTCCCATGCAATGGGACTGTGAGCCAGAAGACTCAAGACTCCATCTCTCATCTCCCAAGAAGGTGCACTTAACATCAGCCACTAGCACACTCTCTTGTTCTCAACCAAGATGAAAACCATTGTAAGATGAAGAAAAGACTCGTGCAACCACAGTGAGAGTGAGCAGAACAGAACAAGCTTCCTGCAGAAAAGGCACAACTCTGCCTCTCAGGATAACCTACAGAATTCTTTGACTATGGCCACTACCTTCAGACTGCTTGGGAAGAGCTGCCTGCTCATGCTGGAAGCCAGTCACTGCAAGAAATACACTGTTCTTCAAAACCAAGTGAAGAACCGAAGTCATGGTTTCATTGAAGGGATGGAGAGCTCTTGAGAATCAGCTAGCATCTATTCCTATAAATGGCCTTTCTCAGGCAGATGTCATTTCCTTCTGAAGAGAAGCCAAGAAGAAAAGGCTGAACTACATAAATATTCAATTAAACCATACATGAAACAGGAATATTACTTGGTCAGGCTTGTGCATCATAGTCCAGTGATGGCTATTTGAGATAATGCCTCTCCACAGGCTCCCTCCCAAGTCTTTCCTTGCAAACCCACCCACATCATATATGCACTTGAAGTCCTTCTAAGCTACAGTGGAGGTTACCTATGCTAGAGTATTACCTGTCACTCCTGATTAGTGTTTCACTTTCAAATACAGTAAACACAGAGTCCAGGAAGGTATTTCTTTGTAAAAACTTAACAATAAAAAAAAACCCAAAACTGTAATAGCTACAAAGATAAAGATTTCCCATGTTTCTGCACAAGATAAGCTTTCATGTAGGGGGGAACAGGATATAACAAAGAACAACAACAAAACCAAACAAATCCCCCTTCCCCCCCCCCAATCGTACAATCCTGTAATCTTATAGGTAAACATCTTAAACCTCTGTGCTCACTTCCGGAATGGACTTATGCATATGATTAATTCTAGTAAAGTTAGTCGTATCTCTCACATACTCAGGTGAGAATTAAATCTCCTTGTTGAATCATGAATTGCAGCTTTCCAGCATAAGCAAAGGCCATATGTATTTCTCAGTATCATTCACTGGGAAGAGAGGTTTTTAATATACATTTTAATATGCGTGCTAAAAGTTTCTATTTAAATTTGCTGAAGAGGTTTAAGAAATTGCTTTGAAGAGATCTGTTACTGCTGAGTCAGTGTAGATGAAAAAAACAAGCAGAGGCCTCTATGCAGAGCTTTATTTCCACTGGCTTAAAATGATTTGTCCATGGACCCAAATACTGCATAAAAAGATTCCGCACCTAGAAAAATGGGAATAATTCCCAGTCTTTGGCAAAGTACTTAGAGAGGTAACTGAAGGATATTCTATAAATGTCATCATCAGTACATCTTTCAAAAGTGAGGGTCTTCGGAGGAACTTGTCATTGCCCCAGACAAATCATACATTAAACAAGACTTGGAAAGACAAGTGGGAGTAAGAGCTCAAGTCAAATACTACAGCATTCAGTCACGACATACCACATGAACTAGTATATATATGTGTGTGTATATATATATACACACACACACGCAGCGTGGCATAACTTTACAGGACAACGGACTAAAATAAGAGACTTGATTTGTTACGGTTAAATTTATCAACTCATACACTGAAAAACAATCCTAGCCTCACATACAAAGTGATGGGCTCTGGCCTGATCATTTCCACTCAGGAAGATGATCTCGGTGTTACAACTGACTGGGTTTGCTAAAATGTCAGTCTGATACTGAATGGTAGTCAGAAGACTAAATCTGATGTTACAAATTATTAGCAAAGGAATTTGGAAGGGCATGGCAGCACGGAAAATCAGACACTGCATAAATCCATGGTTTACCTACTCTTCAAATTTAGCATGCAGTTCTGGTCTCCTTATCACTCTTTCTTACAGAGGGGCTCATCTGGCTTACTAAATAGCCTAATCACAGACTCAGGAAATCTTATATGCAGCAAAATGCTGAAGACAGTTTTAAATGAGTGCAGCCCACAGATTCATCCTGCTTGCCTATCCATAGTATCTGTTTATAACCTCCACTGCATAAAGAAGGTTGAGTTGGATCACTTTTGAAGTTTGGATCAGCATGGCCACTTTCACTCCTTATTCATGCCGACTTGTGATCATCGAAAGCAGTATATCACAGTGGCATACTGTTTACAACTGCTCTGGAAACAGGAGCATTTACTCATTGATAAATCAGCTCTTAACTTTTAGAGAAGGCTTCCAGCCATTTTGCTGCTCTTGCAAACACAGATGCTACATTCCATAAATGCCACAGTACTTATTAGCATATACACATTTGAATTTTCCGACTGGAATAAATATCCCTAAACCAAATTTCTAAACTGTTTTAACTGAGTTTGTGATGCTAGACAACTTTAGAAAGAAAACCCAAACTCCGAGTAGACTCAGTACACACAGTAGTGTCAGACAAAAGTAGTATTTCAAGGCAGTGAAAATTACAATCATCTACACATTTAAAGCTCTTCATAGTAGGTAAGTTTTGAGTCCTAGAAACATAAGACAGATGATCTACAAAAAATCCTGCAAAGCATTTCACTGTTTTTTCATCCTTTGGGGTTTTTTTAGCCTGTTTGGAGCAAAGATGATGAAAGCTTTCAAAACATTTGCAGTAACTCAACACCACCAATCTTTCCATTCCCAAATTACTATGCTACTTCTGAATTCTCAGCACTTGTCACAGAATACATCTAAAACATTCTCTTGACACTAGACTACACCAAAAAAAAAAAAAAAAAAGAGAAAGAAAAAGACCTGCAAATGTGTTTTCTTAGTTGCATTAAATATGTTAGTCCTAACCCACTCATATAAATGCAGTGGCTATTATTAGCATTAGCATGTACTTCCATGTGTAAATGATTCACCTTTTTATATTTAAAAGTGTATTACCATACTATTTCTTTGGGACTGAAATTAAAACCTAATCCACTATTTACAAACATTTATTCTCTTCAGTACATGGTAGAAGCTTTGGCTATCTTAATGTCTGCCTTCTCCCACAATTCATTAATTGAAAGTCTCCTACTTGAAAAGCATTAAGTATTCTGAAATGACACAGATTTCATTTCCAAAAATAGGAAAGAGAAGTACGTATCAGGAAAACAGACATCAGCACATGCATTTACTCTCTCACAACAGTGCAGCCATCAGCTTTTTTGTCACCTAGGTAATACAGAGATTCATGTCCTCATACCACAATTCCTGCACTCTGAGAACAGGCTTTCCAAACATTTTATGGGCTTACTGTATTTGAGTAGCAGTGGATTCATCACTGAACAGCTGGAGTTTTGCCCAGGAAAACAAACTATATTCTATACTGAAGAAGGACATGATGATTAGGCCTTTCATATCCCTCTCATGTTGAAAATTATGGAATTATCAGAAAACTGTAATCATGAAAATGTTAAACTAAGGAGAATGTATTTTTACAGCAAATGAACCTAATTATGTTTACCATATTTGGGCTCAAAGTTGGCTGGCAATTCAGTCTGTATATAGACAGAAATGTCTGATTCACTGTCACAGGATACGAATAAAGCAGAGCAATCCAGTATGAATAACAGTCTCTCTCCTGTAACAAAACCAAACATCAGTAGAAACATAATACTTCAAAAGCATCATATAATATTATTGTAAATAGCAATTTCATAAGCAGTAGTAGCTGAATAGTTTTAACTAATTCTAAAAACCATTCTTGAACTAGATTTTTGCAACAGGACACTCCTGGAACTGTCAAAATGCTTCATTTCTAACAAATCTTTGTTTTCTAGTAAGATTAGGTAGAACTAATTTCTGTACCTGATGAAGGAACAGTGGTGACAAGTACTTTTAAATCATAAAATTTAAAAAAGCAGTAGCATGTATACTATATTACCTTTTCTCATTTTTTCAAATAAAAAAACAGCTCTTTGTGTGTCTTGGGCACAGCGTTCCCCTTCTCATTAAGACCAGAATTTGGTAAGTCTTAATTAAATAAAAATGAGATTTTTCAAACAGGACTAACTCATTTTGTATAGGTGGGGTCATGACATGATTAGTTGTAAGATCCAATATAGCATCCTTTCAGTTTAAAAACCTTTAATATAAATCAAGGGGGGGTGGGAGGGGAGCTATAATGGTTTGGGTTAGAGGGAACCTTAAAGATCACCTTGTTCCAACCCCCAAATATAGCCCAATCTCGACAACTGCTAACATTTCCCCCTTCAAGCTTAGCACTCACTTAGTTGTTCTGTTTGCTTTACACAGCAGACACCTAAAAAAATCCTTCCCCAAGTTGCTCAGTCTTCTGCAAATGCTATTAACAACTGGTGCTAACACAAGTTAAGCACCAGAGACAAAAAGATTTTCCTCTTGCCCTATTTCAGCAAGCCTCTGTGTGCTACCCAGCCTTAACCACAATGGCAACAACTTACCCCTTTGAGACTCCAACATCTAGTACCTTCTATTAGCTGCTTCAGTAATCTTGCTTTCTATTTCAGTCCATGGAATAATTTGTTGCCTTTTATCCACGCAATGTAAATGTCAAAATAGGCCACAGGTCAACTTAAAAAGCTGCAGACTGAAAGCTGAAGAACACTAGAGCAATTTCTGGTCTTCTCCATCCACTCCTTAACACTGACACAGCTCTAAGAAATTTCTGGGCTTAAAAGTAATTAGTTACTTGGGTTTTGCATTTGACACATTTTTCCTCGGAAGGCTATCTTGATTATTTTCCTTTTATACAGAAAAGCAAAGATTTTCATATTTTAAATACACAGTTTTCCTGCCTCTTTAAAAACCAGAGTTAACGTTCTTATCAATGTTACAGTTCTTTCAATACAAATAGATTTACATGTTTAGAAAATATCTTTTATATCTAGTGTAGATGCTACCAAAGAATATAAATAACTTCACACAAGAGCTACTTGCTAACAAATGCATACATGGAATTCTGCCGGCACGCCTCACCAGCACACACAGCCTTTCTAGCTTCCGGCTTTAAGCTGCTACATTAAGTATATGGCATGGAAAGGCATACAACAGTCAAATTGATGTTCAGATAAATACTGATGTGATCTGACTGGTGTAATGTGATTTTTCCTTTAAAAAAAGTGAATTCTTCTTTGGGTAAAATTATTAACCAAAAACTCTCAAAATATTTCCCAACAAAATTATTGTTAAAAAATTATGAATTCTAATTTGAAACATACAAAGCACACTCAGACCACCTTACCACATCCTGAATGCAGAAGTACTGATTATTTTATGTCAACAACTAAGCCCTCAATCATGAGCGCAATTTGTCACAAGGTCACTCAGGTCACCGAGTTGTGCAAGAAATTTGTAAAAGATACAGTGGGATATTTATGCTGGTATAATAATATAATAACATCTTGAAAGATAAACATATGCAATGTTTTAATCCATAAAAAATTAAAATTATGTAATTGACAGTGGGATTGGTTGCACCCTCAGCAACTTTGTTGATGACACCAAGCTGTGTGTGTGGTTCAGTTGATAGGCTGGAGGGAAGGAATGCCATCCAGAGGGACCTTGACACGCTTGTGAGGTGGGCTGATGCCGACCTTATGAAGTTTAACCATGACAAGTGCAAGGTCCTACACCTGGGTCAGAGCAATCCCAGGCACAGCTACAGGTTGTGCAGAGAAGAGATTCAGAGCAGCCCTGCGGAGAAGAACCTGGGTGTATTGGTCAATGAGAAACTTAACATCAGCCAGCTTCAGTGTGCACTCGCAGCCCAGAAAGCCAACCGTACCCTGGGCTGCATCAAAAGCAGTGTGACCAGCAGGTTGAAGGAGGTGATCCTGCCCCTCTACTCTGCTCTCATGAGACCTCACTTGGAGTACTGTGTGCAGTTCTGGTGTCCTCAACATAAAAAGGACATGGAACTGTTGGAACAAGTCCAGAGGAGGGCTACAAGGATGATCAGGGGACTGAAGCACCTCCCATATGAAGATCGGCTGAGAAAGTTGGGGCTGTTCAGCCTGGAGAAGAGAAGGCTTCGTGGAGACCTCATAGTAGCCATCCAGGATCTGAAGGAGAGCTATAGGGATGCTGGGGATGGACTCTTCGTTAGGGACTGTAGTGACAGGACAAGGGGTAACAGGTTAAAACTTAAACAGGGGAATTTTAGACTAGATCTAAGGAGGAAGTTCTTTACTGTGAGGGTGGTGAGGCACTGGAATGGGTTACCCAGGGAAGCTGTGAATGCTCCATCCCTGGTGGTGTTCAAGGTCTGGCTGGACAGAGCCTTGGGTAACATGATTTAGTGTGAGGTGTTCCTGCCCATGGCAGGAGGGTTGAAACTAGATGATCTTAAGGTCCTTTCCAACCCTAACTATTCTATGACTCTACGAATTAATCTATTCAGTAAAAATCAAACATCTAGAAGCAAGCTAGAGACTTAAGCTTAGACTTTTATTATTTGTTAGATATTTCTGAAAAGGCATGTGTGTTCTCCCCAAAGCACGTAGGGCAAACTGTACACATTCATATGTATGCATCTGTGGAAGATCCTAACTCATACCTAATTAGGCCCATGCAATGATACCTCTCAGTATTCATTAACAGAGCTGAATTTTGTTCACAAATGAAGACTAGAAAGAAACACTTAAAATTTTAAGTGCTATCTTCTGATGTGTTAATTATTCTTGAAAATTATTATTAACATGAAAGACTAGGCTTACATTAAATGATGCTTAGGTGATTTAAGCCATGCTGACACTCCTTCCCAGTAACTTATGTTGGTAAAGCTTTCTGCTGCAGAAATTGCGACACAGTGAAGTTCTGCAAGCCGTAAGACCCTGCAAAGATGCCAAATACATTTGAGCAATGTTTCAATACCAGCTGATGCATCTATTACAGATCTGGCCAGACCCTATTCAAATACATGTCTTAAGTATTAGATTCAGAAAAAGTGACCTTTTAGCCACTGGGACTCTTTGCGCAGAGGGCATGCTGACAGCCAGGACCACCCCACTGGTACAAGCAATGCCCATGACTAAATCTGGCACCAGCAAGTGATGGTGAGGGTAAGGCTACAATATACAACACTAAGGATCAAGGCAATTTCTACTTTACATATTACTACAAACACACACAGGCACCATTTTTAGCCACTGTTGGATTTACCTCCCTTCTCCCCATCCCCCAACCAGGCTCCAAACCTTGAAGTAACCTTGCTCTGTCCCCCCCACCCCGAGACAGCTCCATGCCTGAAACATAACCTCTAATCTTATCTTCTATTTCTAGCATACAATTCACGACCCTTATCCCAATTTTTTAAATTAAATATCCTCCATGTTGCAGACTCTGCTTCCCATAGTCAGGATAGCACAGAGTATGTCAGAATTTCTAACCATATGTTTCTTGTTGAGGACAATTTTACAACACTTTTAACAGCATTAGAAACATATTGTATTTATGCAACATAGGTTTTAAAAGCCTTCTTTGAGAAAGGGGCTTTCATCACTACTGTCAGTATTCCACTGCAATGAAAAAGCTCTGTTTGTTAGAAGGTTTAGATAAAGACCTTAAAATACCACAGATCTGTATATCAGGGCAGTTTGCAAAGCAAAGCATTAACTTCCAGCGATTATTGATACTTGGAGAGTATCTGTGGACAAGTCTTACAGATTACAGGGGTTTACTACAAAAGAAGCCTTCTCATCTGACACCATCTATTTCTGAGAAGGAATTTGCTTAAACTTGTTTGGTTTTTCGCAACAAGAAGGTATGTTGTTTCTTTGCCATCAATTCTGTAACATTTCTTACACTAAGCAAACCAAAATAGAAGTGGCTGACTCAACCAGTTGCCACAATGGCAAAATTCGTACTTTTCATTAATTGGCACTATCCATAAGTTTCTTTCATATTTTTATCAATTATACACAATTTATACAGTTGCTACAGCAAAACATTCCTCTGTGCACAAATTCTCCCACAAAAGCACTTTGATACAGAGCAGCTCCTGAAGAATGAAGAATATTTTTCTGTCTCCAAAGTGCAGAAAAACAAGAAGTTTCCATGGTGCGTCCCAAGTCTGGAGGCTGCAGCCTGACATAGCCATGCCCTCTCAGAGCTGCGCAGTTACAAGTACACGTCTGCGGTGTCATAAGCCACACTCATCTGTCTACCCCAAAACAAGCTATTTCAGTCCCAGAAAACATGGAGGGTGGAGGAACATCTGTCACTGTTCGCCAGCTGTGTGCTTACTCTGCAGAGAGGAACTGATTTGGCCACTGTGCATTAGTGAATGCCTTCACTTACAAAGTTTAAAAAAAACCCTTAAGAACAAAAAAGGGAATTACACTGTACCCATATACGAAAATAATTACCAAGCTAGTAGTTAGACCTTCAAAACAAGACCAACTATACTGACAGGACTTTCTGTTGATCAATAACAAAATTTAGTCAGACTAGGATGCTAATAGCAAAGAAACATCCACTAATACTCCACAGAATTACTTTCTAACTATATTTTAGATATAATCAGTTCTGGGACAACTGGACCCCACTAGCAAAATTAGGAAAGAAGGAACAATCCTTGAAGATAGACATTAAGTGTTACAGTACGTTTTGTTGAATTTGTATACATCTTATAAGCATATTTTACAATAAATACAGCTTGTTTCACACTGGTCTGCATTAGCTTGTTCTACCATTAGTTTGT